TATATATATATATATATATACACACATACACACATGCCTATTAATTATACTAATTTTATTTTATAAGTTACGTTTTTTTATGATAAGGTGCGTTCAATAAGCTTACAAGCGATTGCAACGTAACAATTATAACAATATTAAATCAGGTAATATGTGTTGTACTTAGTAAATACTGTTTTGTAATAACACAACACATGTACAAAGAACCACAGCCGATGATCGTATCTCATTTTTTTCTTAATATTTTCGTAACAACACTGGTAACTCACACAAGCATACTTCGCGAATGATACTTCCTTTAATAAATATGTAAAATTCACGACATAGTATTATAAAATCCATTCAAGTTATTGATTTTCAAGATAACGATGTCATGATACTTTTATTTATTAACATTACAACATGTTCTATATAGTATATGTATAATTAACTAGTTATTCTTATAGAATATAGAATTTGTGTTACGTAACTATCGAGAGTAATTTATTTTTATACAGAATTCATATATAGATTATTATAAGTTCACATACAAAATTTCACAAAATTTCACAAAATTTTACCGACATAAAGTGTCAGGATTATTATATCTATTGATAAAGTATACGTATTAAAAAATGTTTATTAAAAATGTTTATCAGTAGAATTTTGTAATATTTTGTAGTAGAGTGAGGCACTTGTTATTTGCTCACCCTTGATTTTTAATTTCTAACAAAATAACGAGGTACTTTCAAGAAAACAAAAGATCAACATTTTCAAAAACTTTTCTTCATTATACAAATAGTACTTCAAATGCTTGCTGAACAATTTTTTCCAAATATTAAATAAATAAAGACGAATATTACATAAAGAAAAATATAATATTATATCATATAAATAATGTAAAAAATTAGTGTACTAACACTTTGCATATAATAAAATTATAATTGTGCTTTGAAAATGTTTAATATACTTGCTGAGGTAAAATGAAAAATGTTAAATATTTAAGGAAATATAATTTAGTAGTGTTCATAACACTCATACAGCAGGAGACACAATAGTGCGCAAGCGACATTACCATGTTCCTTTATGCGAGACCGAGTTGCGATCGAGATTATTGGATCTGAATAACAGTTGAACTAACCAAGTATACACACACACACACACACATACACACACACTCG